ATTCAGCCATAAAAAGAGAACAACATCTTGGCATTTGCGACAACACAGATGGACCTTGAGGGCAAAATGCTAGTTGAAGTAAGTCAGAGAAAGGTAAATACCATATGATCACATTCATCTATGGAATCTAAAATAACAAAACCCAAAAAGCCAAGTTCATAAATAGAGTGAAGAGATTGCTGGAGATGTAGGGGTGAAGGTGAGTGAAATAGGTGAAAGGGTCAAAAAGTACAGACTTTCAATCATAAAATAAATGAGTCACAGGGATGTAATATACAGCATGGTGACTACAGTTAATAATACTATATTACATATGTGCAAGTTACTAAGAGAATAGATCTTAAAAATTCTCATCACTAGAAAGAAGTTAAGCAAACTATGGAAAGTGACAGATGTTAATGAGACTTACTGTAGTGATTATTTCACAATATATATAACTATCAAATTGTTATGTTTCACACCTGAAATATAATGTTATATGTCAATTATACCCCAATTTAAAAAACTACAATGGGCACTGTGCTTTTTTCCCTTCAATTTATTTTAATTAATTAATTAACTTTAAGTTTTTATTTAAATTCTAGTTAGTTAACATATAACGTACATATAGCATATTGGTTTCAGGAGTAGAACGTAGTATATAACTTAGTATATATAGAGCTTACATATAACACCCAGTGCTCATTAAAACATGTGCTCTTTTTAATACCCATCACCCACTTGCCCATCCCCCACCCACCTCCCCTCCAGCAACCCTCAGTTTGTTCTCTATAGTTAAGAGTCTTTTATGGTTTGCCTCCCTCTCTCTTTTTACCCCTTCCCCAATGTTCATCTGTTTTGTTTCTTAAATTCCACATATGAGTGAAATCATATCACATTTGTCTTTCTCTAACTGACTTATCTTGCCTAGCATAATAAACTCTAGTTCTATCCATGTCACCACAAATAGCAAGATCTCATTCTTTATATATATTATATATATATAATATATATATATATGTATGTATATATAAACCACATCCCCCCTATCCACCTATCAGTCAATAGATGTTTGAGCTCTTTCCATAATTTGGCTATTGTTGATAATGCTGCCATAAACATCAGGGGGCATGTGCCCCTTCAAATCAGTATTTTGATATCCTTTGGGTAAATATCTAGCAGTGCAATTGCTGGGTCATAGGGTAGCACTATTTTTCACCTTTAGAGGAACCTCCATACTGCTTTCTAGAGTGGCTGCACCAGTTTGCATTCCCATCAACAGTGTAAGAGGGTTCCCCTTTCTCCAGATCCTCACCAACATCTGTTGTTTCCTGTGTTGTTAATTTTAGCTGTTCTGATGGGTGTGAAGTGGTATCTCATTGTGGTTTTGATTTATATTTCCCTGATGATGAATGATGTTGAGCATCTTTTTATGTCTCTTAATCAACTGGATGTCTTTGGAAAAATGTCTGTTCATGTCTTATGCCCATTTTTTAAATTGGATTATTTGTTTTTTGGTTGTTGCATTATATCAGTTCTTTATAGATTTTGGATACTAACCCTTTATCAGAAATATCACTTGCAAATATTTTCTCCCATTTTGTAGGTTGCCTTTTAGTTTGTTGATTGTTTCCTTCACTGGGCAGAAGTTTTTCATCTTGATGAAATCCCAATAGTTAATTTTTGTTTTGTTTCCCTTACCTCAGGAGATGTGTCTACTAAGAAGTTGCTTTGCCCGATGTCAGAGAGGTTGCTGCCTATGTTCTCCTCTAGGGTTTTGATGGTTTCTTGTCTCACATTTAATCCTTTCATCCATTTTGAATTTACTGTTGTGTATGGTGTAAGAAAGTGGTCCAGTTTCATTCTTCTGCATGTTGCTGTCCAGGTTTCCCAACACCATTTGTTGAACATACTGTCTTTCTTCCATTGAATATTCTTCCCTGCTTTGTCAAAGATTAGTTGACCATATAGTTGTGGGTTAATTTCTGGGTTTCCTATTCTGTTCCATTGATTTATGTGTTTTTGTGCTAGTACCATACTGTCTTGATGATTACAGTTTGTAATAGAGCTTGAAGTCCGAAATTGTGATGCTTCCTGCATTGCTTTTCTTTATCATTGCTTTGCCTATTCAGAGTCTTTTGTGGTTCCATAAAAAGTTTAGGATTGGTTGCTCTAGCTGTGTGAAAAATGCTGTTGGTATTTTAATAGGGAATGCATTAAATGTGTAGATTGCTTTGGGCAAAGTATAGACATTTTAACAATATTTGTTCTTCCAACCCATGAGCATGGAATGTTTTTCCTTTTCTTTGTGTCATCTTCAATTTACTTCATAACTGTTCTAAATTTTTCAGAGTACAGATCTTTTACCTTTTTGGTTAGGTTTATTTGTTTTAACCTTATTATGCTACCTCCAAATTACAATTTAACTCTAAATATAAACTAAAAATGGGCCAACCTTTAGTTTTAAGAGAACCTGACTTATATCTGCTCTATAGCTCTTTAAAGAGACTCTCTTCCACCCATGTGGAAGAGATATTTAAATACCAAGGAGTATTTAAATACTCAGTATTTATTTATTTTTTTTTAAAGATTTTATTTATTTATTTGAGAGAGAGAGAATGAGAGACAGAGAGCACGAGAGGGAAGAGGATCAGAGGGAGAAGCAGACTCCCCGCCGAGCAGGGAGCCCGATGTGGGACTCGATCCTGGGACTCCAGGACCATGACCTGAGCTGAAGGCAGTCGCTTAACCAAATGAGCCACCCAGGCGCCCAATACTCAGTATTTAAATGCTCAGTCGGTTAAGCATCTACCTTGGGCTCAGGTCATGATCCCAGGATCCTGGGATCGAGACCTTCGTCGGGCTCCCTGGCCCACAGGAGTCTGCTTCTCCCTCTGCCACTCTTCCCCCTTGTTCTCTCAATCTCTCTCTCTCTCTCAAATAAATAAATAAAATCTTAAAAAAAAATAAATATCAAGGAGTCTAGTTGGGAGAACTCATTTTCTTCCCTCCTTTATGTATGGGATCTGCACAACCAGATTACCCCATCCTCAGTCTGACCAGGAGTGAATCCTATGTAATCCATATAAGTGGAATTACTAGCTCTACACTTCCCAGGGCACTATCCTGTTTTCAGCAGACAACCCAGAAAAATTTAATCCATACAAAAACCCTCCAATATTTAACAAAGCTACATCAGAATCTCAAACTGAAGCATAAATATAAAATAAAAAATAATATATTAGTTATTCAACTCTTCCCATTTTCAAAATACACAATATCTAGTCCAGTCAAATATACTATTAGTTGTACTAAGCTAGTGAAAGAATATCATAGCATCACCATTGCCACTGGACAAGATTCTTAATCCTGTGATATTATTTCCATCTCTGATAAATGTCCTTCATTCCATTCTTACTGTTATTATTCTAGCTTAAGTTTTACACTTGAAATAGCTTCTAAGAATCTCTGAAAATCTTCTCTGTGGATTTTTTTTTATGTTGCAGACTTTATAGTTTATAAAGCACTTTCAACATATGTTTTTATTTAGACTTTATATCAATTCTGTGAGGTAGACATTACTACCTAAATTTTATGGATGAGGATGTTTCTGAGAGATTTAGTATTAATTAAAAATACACAGCTTGAAAGGTACAGAACCTGGGACTGGAACCCAGTTCTTCTTTCTCTGAAGCTGGTCCACTTTCTGTTATGTCACCAGTACCCCTCCTCTGGCAGGCTCTTAGTCCAGTGCTCTATTTATGTTTACACTATTGATAAAGGACTCCCTACATCTCTCTGTCTTGGCTTTTCCACATGCTAGCTGTGCAAACTTTTGCAAGTAACTTATGAGTGATAAATCTCTATTTTATGATGAAGAAACAGGAGCAAAGAATTAGACTAAACTGTATGAAATCATTGCTATTTGACCAACATTGACCTACAAAAATGACAATTTCAAATGATTTAACTTAATAAAATATTTTTAATCATTATTACCAATCCATTTAATGTAAGAAGTTCAACACCATCTGTATCATGTTTTAGAGTAATCCAGATGACAATATTCCCATACGTGAAATTCAAAGAAAATATAATTTTAGTTTTTTTTTAGGGTGGAAAAATATGGATCTTAAATCTTTTATGGTTATTTTTGACCAATATGGCCAAAGTACATATTTCCAAGTTTCAGTCCTTAGAAATAATCTTATGCATATTTACTATAAAACAATCAAAATTCTTATGTGCGCAGGCTCCTTCTTTATTTTTTCTTATTCTTTTCCTTCTATCTTTTAGTAAGAGCTGCCTATGAAAGAGGTCAATTTGAGCAAGTTATTCCTTACTGGGAAAAAAGACCTGAAAAAATACAAATGGTGATTGATTCCCCACTGTTTCAGTTATTGTTGTTAGTTTTACCAAGATACAAGAAAATATTTTTTTCCTTTAACACTTGTATAACAGTTGTTTCCAAAATTCAAGTCTTCAGAATATAAGTTAGTCACTGATGATTGTATCCCAAGGGATTTCTCCTTAGCAACCAAGTTTTAGTTTCTATTTTGTTGATGTAATATACAGTAAAATGTATGCATTTTCTGACTTGCGTTAATATAGCATATTTTCATAGAATACATATAGGAAGTAATTGCCAGTTTGTGAAATGTGACCATTTTAATCCTTAGCTAATATCCTTTCCAATTCATTGTCCATTTAAATACCATGCCTCATGAAAATATTTAATGTTGCAGAAAGAACCATTGAACCCTTTTAGAACTGAGGATCAGCTAGAAATTAGGTATTCATTAATCAGTTTATAACTTCCCTCATAGATTTAATGCATTAATAGACCTGAATTAATTTGTCTTCTGACAGGAAATAGAAAATTTTGTTTTAAAAATGCCACAAACAAAACACAAATACCTCAATATTTTGTTGAAAATTCAATGTGGGTGCCTATACAGTGGTGTGAGAAGGGTTTAAGAGTATTATTTCAGTTTTATAAGGAATCAGCCAATTGATCTTACCTGATCATGTATATGGCTTGATCCCCCATGGCACAGTTCTTTTCCAGTGTTTGTAGAAATCGAATCACTTCTTGTGATGGTTTCGATTTGTTGGCTAGAATGGGATTGTTGACAGTGTGGAGAGTGGATGATCTGGGGCTGTTGGACAATGTGATGATGACATTGGACCTGTGGATAGCATTCCTAAAACACACATACATGTCAAAATAGCCTGTGAGAATAAAAATTACTAATTGAGAAAAGCCCAATGAATGCATTTTTAAAAGTTTAATGCATTCTTTCACAAGGTAATTCAATCCCTAAAATTTGTAGTTTTAATATATGATATATTATTTTTTTTCAAATTATTTCATCGGGAGAAATTGTATTGAATTCTATTTTTGTTTGATCAGGTGGCTGTGACCATCCAAATACTTACCTAAATTGGGCAGAGAATTGCATGTTCTGATTAAATTAATATTCCAGTTATACTTAACAGTAAAACTATAATGAATATTAATATTAATTACTCTTTGATGATTCAACCAGCACTTCAGCATCTAATTTTATAATAATACTATCATACTGAAGATGTAGATGGATATAAAAATAGAAAATAATATAATGCAGTGATTTTCAATATCAGGAAGCATATTAGAATCACAGTGGGGGCAGACAAAATTCTTATGCTTATGAAAATCAAGCACAAATTAAAAGATTGGAAAACAGTAACTAAAGATTCAGATCTAGAAAACGGGGATTCTAACTGATTCTACCACTTACTCTGTGATCTTGGGGAACTATGCAGTCTTTATGAGCCTCAGTTTACTCATTTTCAAAAATGGAGATAATATGTGTCTCATTGGGTTGTTATGAGGAGTAAATAAACTAGTGTTTATAAAGTGCCTAGTACAAAGTAGGTGGGTAATAAACATTTATTATTATCATATTATTTCATTATCATTGTCATCATAAACTTAATCATCATCCATCCCACTAATTTTTCTTTAAAGATTTTATTTATTTATTTGACAGAAACAGAGACAGCGAGAGCATGAACACAAGCAGGGGGAGTGGGAGAGGGAGAAGCAGGCTTCCCGCCGAGCTGGGAGCCGCATGTGGGGCTCGAATCCAGGACTCTGGGATCATGACCTGAGCCGAAGGCAGCCGCTTAACGACTGAGCCACCCAGGCGCCCCACCCCACTAATTTTGCAGGTGGAAAAAAACCCCTGAGGTCCAGAGAAGTAAGATGTTTTACTCATAATGACATGATTAATTCTTGGAAAAATTGGGATTGGAATTCATGATTTCTAGCTCAGAGTTCTTTCAGAACATAAGGCTGAATTTTTACTGTCCTCAAAATAGTCTGGAACTTGTTGTTTTTAAACTAAATCTTTACTATCTGCTTATTTATTTGTCATGGATTTTTTTCTGATAAAATATAGGGCACAGAGTAAGAAAGGATATCAGGTTGTTTCAGTTTTGAGGATTTCAGAAATACTTCAATTTCCTATATAATCTTGTTATTATTCTACTTTGATAAAAAGCATCTGAAAGCCAGTTTTCAAAGAAAAAACATTCTCTATTTTGAATCAGAATGCTACATTCATGCACATACATTTAGCTTTGGAAGTATAAATTCAATGCTCTATTTCCTTTTGACAGTGGAAAGTTGGCCTGCATTAATAAAGTAAAACACTTCAAATTTTATATTTTTTTAATGTGGAATAATTTTCAAACTATATATATTAAATGAAAAAAGCAAGATGCATAAGAAGGAATATATTATGCTTCCTTTGGTATAACATTTTTAAAAATATACACATGTGTATATTTACAAATATACACAACTTCTTTTAAATGCATAGAGCAAAAATCTTTTAAGGGTGACTGCCCTGGGAAAAGGAACTGAGAGACAAGAAGGTTAGGATAGAGAGGATTTTTTTTTTTTACCACTGTATATATTTTTATTCCCTTTTTATATTCTTTTTGTACCTTTTATAATTTTTATGCTTTGGAATTTTTAATATGTATACAAATTATCTTTTTAAGTATAAAAAAATTATTTTGAAAGAAAGAAAAATACATAAAGAAACATATTTTACAAATAAAAACTACCTTGGTAGTAATTGATAATAAAGGTCATAGAATCTGTTCTTAGAATCATTTTCTCCAGGATCTTTTCAAATATGACTCACTTTACATGCTAGCACTAAGATCTCTACAGTTTAGAAGTCAGACTGTGTACTATCAGCCACTTATGTACAAATTGTAGGGGTGAATGTATTTCTGTTCTTTTATGTTACAAAATACCTTCATACACTGGATTAGAATAAAGTCAGAGTGACAGGCTGAGAAAACCTTCACCCAGCAGGGAACTTGTACAGTACTGAAATAGAATTCCTCCTTAAAAAAAAAAAAAATAATGTGTTCTTTAAAAAGCAAGTTAGGAAACACTTTGGAGGACATATCAATATAGGACAATAAACAAAACTCATTTCTCAATCATCTTCCTTTATTAATATATCAGTTGACTCTTGAATAGAATGCTGACAGTCTCTCCATCTGGGGTGTCTTGTGGTTTCCTTGAGCCTTTCTGGCCTCTGAATCACTCATTAGTATCACTGAAGTCTTAGCAGATTTTCAGCTTCAATTCTCATACCTGACTACTAAAATTATTGTTCTAAAGCATGCTATTCATACATTACTCATATTTTTGAAGTGTACCACAAGCTGGATTTTTAATGTACAAAAGATCAAACATTTATGATTTATCATATATTTTGTCTTCTTTGATAGAGAAAAAATATATACAGAGTACAGTTCATATGAACTACATAATTATCTTGCAACTGGCACCAACTTACCACCTTTTCATGACAAAGACCTCTTTTTTAGGCAGGTCTTATCTCCTAAGAGCTAGTCCTATTTGAACTAGTCTCATGTAACATTAACCATTTCATCCAGACTTAGCTTTATCGAGCTTGTCCTACTGCATCTCTATCACTGAGGAAACTCAACTACGTCAAGGCAGTTATAGTTTGTTCCATATGCATGGTTCCTTTTACCTTGGGTAATCTCTCATGGCAGTCCCCAAACTCCCAAATCATTTAAGTCACTAATAAAAAAAGTGGATGTAAAAAGGTAAATATTCAAATTAATAGTAAGTAACTGTAGTGTTCTTTTAAAGGAGTTCTTTAATTGTTCCATATGTATAGCAATAATAATGTACAGGATATTCAGTCTTTTCCTCTAGGAATGAAGACTTAGAAAAGTATCCTTTTTGAGATAAGAAATTAGAAGAGCATGAAATGATGTGTCTCAAACATTTCTTTAAAATGTGTCAAACTTATTGTTTGGTCAGTCCAGTCGGACAAAGGACAGATGTTATAATTTGATAGCTTGAGGAAAATGCCCCTTGAAGAACTGACATATTTGATAAAATTTTTCTATTTGGTATCATAATATCCAGAAATATTCTATTGTTCTTCTGAAAGATATGTGTTCAATACATACCAAACTCTCTAATATATCCAACTTTCTAAGCAGACCAGAGTCTTAAAGGTTTGGATTTTTATAATTCTGAGAGTTTACACTATTTTATTTTTAATGGGCATCAGATAAGTAATAATGTATTAGTTCCTATGAATCAGATAACAACTGCCCATAAATGTTCATAAAAATAAGATGTGTTCCCATGCCAAGAAAATTAAAAAGAATTTAGTATATTTTAATGTTTCATTTGTATATGAGAAAAATGATTTTGTGATAAAAATTCATTTGATATTATTTAACTGCCTGTTATAGGTTAAATTGTGTCCCCCCAACAAAAAGCATATGTTAGAGTCCTAATCCTTAGTACCTCAGAATGTGACCTTGTTTAGAAACAGGGGCTGCTCCTTCTTTTTTTTTTTTTTTCTTTCTTGAAACAAGGCCTTTATAGAAGTAAGAAGTTAAAATGAGGTCATTAGGATGAGTCCTAATCAAATATGACTGGTGTCCTCATAAAAAGGGAAAATTTGGACACAGACAGACATGCACAGAAGGAAGATGATATGAAGACATACAGGAAGGATGCCATGTGAAGATAAAGGATAAAAGTTATGCATCTACAAACCAAGGAACACCTGAGACCATAAGAAATTAGAAGATAGTCATAGAAGAGGTCCTTCCCTAAAGGCTTCAAAGGGAGCATGGCCCTGCCAACATCATGATTTCATACTTCTGGCCTACAGAACTGTGAGACAATAAAAGTGTGTTCTTTTAAGCCACCAAGATTGTGATACTTTGTTACAGTAGTCCTAAGAAACTAATACACTATCCTACTTCAAGAATGTTCAAGAGATAAGTCCTAGGCTTTGTTTGGGCTGGACATGCTTGTATCCACTGAGAAGATCAATGTGAAACTTCTGCTGGCTACAGTAACAACCCTGATTGTAGGTCTGGTAGCTCTACATGCTATGGAATTATCATTGCCCTGCTACAGTTTTGAAAGTTGTACTTGGTCTCTCAGCTGAATTTAATGAAATTTTTAAAATGTGACTTGAACTATAGTTTTCTAGACTTTTACATTATATAGTATTTTACATACCTGCTCATACACACCGTTCATTTGAAAATTCGTTTTATATATTTTTTTTTACTTTTTTTCAAGTTTTTGTTTAAATTCTAGTTAGTTAACGTATAATATAATATTGGCTTCAGGAGTAGAATTTAGTGATTCATCACTTACATATAACATCCAAAGTTCATCACAAGTGCCCTCCTTAATACCCATCACCCATTTAGCCCACCCCCTGCCCACCTCCCCTCCATCAATCTTCAGTTTGTTCTCTGTAGTTAAGAGTCTCTTATGGTTTGTCTTCCTCTCTTTTCCCCCCCTTTCCCTATGTTCATCTGTTTTGTTTCTCAAATTCCATAATTAAGGCAAAGTTATAATGCTTTAAATTATAATTTGTGTGAGGCCAGTTTAAAAGAAATGTACGAAGCACTGGGATATCTGTATTAAATTCAGTTTCTACCATTAATTTTCTAGGTGACTTGACATTTTTACTTCAGTTTCCCTTTCAGTAAAAAAGGGACAATAATACTTCACATGGGAGAATAAATATGAAAGTGTTAAGGATGATATGAAGGGCTGTAGACATAATAAGGTATTATTATGACTCATAGTGGCCTTGCTTGGCACTTGACAATTGAGTGTCATCTTAACTCTATTAAAATACTGGTAATTCAGAAGTATACACTTAATAAGCTTTAAAACAAATTTTACATACCTGATCCATATTTAGCTTCTCTACTTTTCTTATTGTTTTTTCATAAATAACATTGTTTCCTGGGAAGAAATGGCCTCCTCTTAGGAATGGAGGAAGTGGTTCCTATAAAGACAATAATGACTGTGTTTTGTTTTGAAAGGTACTGTTTCAAAGGAACTTCAACTTAAGCAAATATCTAGTCTCTAATAAACTCTGAGTTAGTAGCATATTAGGAGAATGGAATGACATCCCAATAAGGTTTTGAGAGATGTAAGGAAATAGTAAAAAGATAGTCTATTTTCTCAAGCAGAGCAATCTGGATCTCTCCTACTACCTTTTACTAGGCCTAACAAAGTGTTTTAGGGGAAATTGGAAGGGGCTGAGAAAGATAATTTTTTTTTTCCTGTTCTTGAGGCAAGATACAGGGAGTTTCCTCTGAGGTAGACAAGCATGAGGTCAACTTCATTTAAATTGAGTTCACTGGCAGGTTTCTTTCTATGCAAAAGTATTATTGGAGAAATGCAAAATAAACAATTCATCACTGAGCTCTAAAGTAGGTAAAACTATATTAAAGATATTTTTTTCCTGGAACTTAGCTTTGGTGTCCTTGAAGTGTACAATTCTTACTTGTGATTATAATCAAAGCTAAGTCTGTCTATACAACATATGTTTTGAATACTGAGAACAGAGTAGAGTCTTTAAGCGCTACTGTATCCCCATATAATTAACTAAGTTGATGTAGTATTATCCAAGTGCTTAAAAGATATCAGCCAATGAAATAAAGGCTATTGACATGTCCAAGATCTGAAAGAGATCAGGGAAAGACTAATAAGAATCAGATCAAGAGCTTAAAATAAATGCAATATTACTATATTTCTTTCCCTTCTTTTTTTGTTTTCATATGAGTCTACTTATATGGAGGGAGTTGAGGTTGTTTTGTTACAAAGAAAAATTGCATTCATTTATTTTTGTAATATAGGGGAACAGTATAGAAGGGGATTGACCAAGGCTGCTACCAGTTAATGTGTTTAAGACCATTTCAAAATCAAAATATGTTAGCATTTTTGTCATCTGCTATTGTAAAAACTCTTAAAAACAACTGGATGAAAACACTGTTTGTTGAGAATGCAAAACACTCTGAAATCCAAAGCTATATACTTCTTGTATTCAAGATTGAATAAAGGGTGCTTTAACTAAATGTTCCTGGAATATTTTGGTGAAATAAATATGCAAGTGATTAAATTTGGCTAGCTGATGAATTGTTAAATCTAAAGGTGGATATATTTAGAAAGATTCCTCTGGAAGCTTTTGTGTCTGTTTGTCTTAGTGAAAAAAAAAAAGCCTTTTTGGTAGTTATTTGCAGTCATATAACACATGTTTAAGAGCTTACTATGCACAATACACTTTGCTAAGTTTTTTAAAGCGTTTTACTGAGATATTTAATACTTAACAATTATGTATAAATCTAGCAGTGCAATAACTTCAAACTGTAACAATATAGTAATCATATCTATTTAATGTCAACATAACCGATATCAATATACTTTAGCTTACTACATATTACTGGTGATAGTAAAGATTAAAATTATAAAAGGTGACTTGACTGAAATATGCACATTTATGTAAATGTAGACTAGATATCAATGATCTGTTTTAAAAAATGGTTACACTTTCTTACTAAAACAAATCTCTTTTCCTCATTTTCCACTTTACTCTGCTATTTTGAAATTCTTTTTTTTATTATGTTCAATTAGCCAATATATAGTACATCATAAGCTTTTGTTGTAGTGTTCAACAATTCATTAGTTGCATATAACACCCAGTGCTCAGTTTTATAAGGCATGAATCACACTTAGATTATTACCAGGAAGACTGAATATTGATCAGTATTTATCAAACTATAGCCAAAAGCCTATTTTTATAATGTCCTCGAGCTAAGAATGATATTTAGATTTTTAAAGGACTGTAAGTACAAAGAAGACCAAAACCCTATGGTGACAGCAAAACCTAAAATATTTACTATATTGCCTTTCATAGGAAAATTTTGCTGATCCCTGGTCTAGATAATATATGAACATAAACATCTATAATACAAGGTAGAAAGAAGCAAGTGCCTATAAGAGGTTCAGAGAAATAACTTATGGGATGGAATTCAGAAGAGGAAAAATTGAATTCCATCTGGCAGTGCTCAGGTAGGTTACTTTGATCAGGTGGCATTTGAGAAAAGGTTAAGGTGGGCTTTGCATATGAAGAGATGGAAGAAAATGGTATTACAAATGAAGTAAACAAAATAAGTCATGAAAACAAGACTGTAGAAGTGTAAGATATATGTAAGGGACACAGATGGCAGACAGAAGTTTGGTTCTGAAAGCAGTGAGAAGTCCTTGAATGCTTTTAAATAGGGATGTGAGGTGAACATAAATCTACTTCAGGAAGATTTGCTGGAGAAAGGAAAGAGTAGAGGTGAGAAGACTAGTAAAGAGATTATCCTAAATCATCAAGGACAGTACTTTCCAAAGATGACTCTAAGATCTTAAATCTGAGAAATCTACTACATAACCAATGGTGCCAAAAACAAAAACAAGAAAAGTTGAGACACATTGAATTTTATGTGCTCCTGGTAAAAACCTAGGTCTGATTCATGTTTTTATTCCTTATAACGTTTAGTAAATATATAGTTCATAGTTATCCCTTAAATATGTGTTAAATTATTGCAAATAATTAGCAAAGAGACTTATATCAAAATGTTCAGGAAGGCATTCAAGTTATAGATGTCCAGCGCACGGGTGAGTAGAGATTTCATGGCTACAGTTCTAGTTCTAGATTTCAGAATAATATGTTTAGAAGATCTTGTTAAAATCATGCAATTGCTGAAAAGGCAAGTGAAGATCAAAGACATAACTACATAAGTCTTAAGAGATATGAGAAACAGGAGGGAATAATGAAAAAAAATCAAAAGAAGAAAAATTTTCATAAAGCAGTGGAAAGGTGAGTGACAGTATAAATGCTTCAGATGTCAACAGGTGAGAATTCCAAAGCAGATTGGATTCGGACTACTACAGATCCATGGGATCCGACTACTAAAATTAGTGGAAGAAGGTGTAATGGAAAAAAATTCTGGAGTCATAAAACCTGTATTCAGTTCTGCTTCTATCACCTACTTGCTGTGGAAATGTAGGAAAGTCATTTACCTTCTCCGAGGCTTAGTTTTCTTATCACAGAGATAGTAATGCAGAATACTTTATATCAAGTAAAATCATGTATTTTAAAATACCTTTAATCTGTGATTTTAATGTACAAATGATATTGGTGTTTAATAATATAGTAATATAATATTTTAAGTCCATACTGCATTTAAAAAGTTAATGAGAACCTTGTTAGAACTATTCTAAGATATCAAGGTAAAGTATATACAAAAATAGGCTTATTGAAGGCAGGGACTGTATCCATCTTGAATACCCCATAATGAATGAACAGATGACTGGATGAAAAGAGATGATATGAATGTTTATCCTAAGGATATAAACACCTTCTAACAGGGGAAAACAAAGTTAGCAAAAGAAAATTTCTCTTTTTTCACTATAAATGCTGAACCATTATTATTTTTAAGAAAAATGGTTTGGGTCCTAACAGTGTTGATTCTCTCCAAAATGTGTGTTGGACTTATTATTTTAAATGACTTACTGAAAAAAAAAAAAACTTCCAAATTTAGAGGACTATTATTTTCCCAAAATGTTTAAAAAGGTAAAACCAAATCTTACTATATTTGAATAAATCATTCTTAGTAAAACAGATCAGCAAAGTAAATTTAATTAGAAGTCTTAGATTTTTCACAAATGAGCTGTTAGACAGCTTTACTATTTTGGCAGCTTATTTTTTTTATCTGTACATTTGAATTGGTGCCAGATCCACCCTAAAAATTAATAGGTGTCTTCAAAGATGGCTGATTTTATCATTCTAATTGTTACTTTTAGAACCTCTGGCAGTAGTTCTCACATCTAACAAAGTACATAATCCCCAGCGTCTACTTTGTTGTTCCCAGGCCATGAAACCTTGCTGGAGAAAGTTAAGAAAATATTTGCTGATTTGGCTCAGTACAACTTTAAGTTATCTTACTTTAAGAGCCTCTCTAAACTTCATGGTCACAGTTGTGTTTATCAAATTCTCTATAACTGTGGTTACAATTTTTTTTCAATTTCCTCAATCCCCTATCCTCACATTCCCTCATTCTCCTTCTTCTTGAGAAAACCAAGATCTATTCAATGAGATTCCTTCATTTTCCTCCCTACCTCAAAAATCTCTCTTCAATTTCTGCTCCTTCCATCTCATTACCAAGAAAGAAAAACTCCTCCTTTTATGTTGAAGTCACTTCTCTATACCTGGAATCCTATCCCCTCTTGTCTCTTCCAGAATCATGTCCCATTTGTCTCCTTTCTCTGTGGCATCTTTAGTCTTACTACTGGTTCTTTTTCCTCTGTCTATAAATCTCTTAGATCTCCAAGATTCTGTTTTCTCCCTTAGCTACTATCCCATCTTTCCTTCTTTTGACCAATATCCTTCTTAGAAGGGTAATCCTCATTTATTTCCTCCATTTCTTGATCTATTCACCCATTAACTTTGCACATCTGGGTTTTGATTCCACAAGTATAAGGAAACTCTCAAATATCACCATTACATAATGGTCAAACTCTCTATTCTCAAACCTCATCCTCATCCTCTTTGGCCTTTTGGTTATTTGGGACAGTTGACCACCCCCTTTCTCTTTTGCTTCAGTTACTCTGTGTTCACGTTTCTTTCTGACAATTCCTCTGCCCATGAAAGTGGCTCCTTTCTGTTTCCTTAAGTTAGGCATTTCACAAAGTTCTGTACCTCAATCCTCTCCATTACCCATCAGTTTTCTCATTCATTCTCACAGCTACAATGACAACTTTCAAAGGAATAACTCCCATGTCTCTATCTCAAATGTGACCTTTCTCCAGGTTATTTATTATTATTATTATTATTAAGTAAGTTCCACACCCAGCATGGAGCCCAGTGTGGGGCTTGAACTCATGATCCTGAGATCAAGACCTGAGCTGAGATCAAAAGTCAGACACTCAACCAACTGAGCCACCTAGTCACCCCTTCAAGGTCATTTTTTTTTAAAGATTTACTTTTTTTTTTTTTTTCCTCGAGAGAGAGCACGAGCAGGTGGAGGGGCAGAGGGAGAGGGAGAGAGAGAATCCTGAAGCAGACTCCCTGCTGAGCATGGAGCCTGACAGGGGCTCAATCCCAGGACCCTGAGGTCATAACCTGAGCCAAAATCAAAAGTTGGCCGCTTAACCAAGTGAGCCACCCAGGTGCCCCCTCCAGGTCATTTTTAACTGTCCATGTGGTCATCTTCCCTTCCATGCACCTCCAACACTACTGGTTCAAAGAGATCTCATGATCTACCCCTTCCCAAATGAACTTTTGCTCCCCCTCACTTCTTAATTGGGCTACCATACTCTCAGTATCTCAAACTGAGCTTAGGGTCATATTTGACTTTTTTTCTTAGATTTATTTTTATTTATTTGAGAGAGAGAGAGAGAAAGCATGAGTGGGGGTAGGGGCAGAGGGAGAAGGAGAGAAAGAATCTTCAAGCAGACTCCCCACTGAGAGTGGAGCCTGATGTGGGGCTCCATCCTAGGATCCTGAGATCATGACCTGAGCCAAAATCAAGAGTCAGCCACTTAACTGACTAGCCACCCAGGTGCCCCACTTTTCTTCTTCTTTTAACTCTATATTCAACATAAGTTATCAAATCTTATCAAAACTACCCCCAGAATAACTGTCAGAAAAGACAGTAATAGATTTAGAGTCAGAAGACCTGAACAAGTCACACTTATTTAACCTTCAGTTGCCTCATTAGTAAAATGATGCTGGCAACAATGTTAACTGTAATAATTCCTTAAATACCACAATAAATCCTTCTCTGATTCCCCCAAATGAATGTGTTATCTCCAACCCCTGGAACTTCAATAAGACTTCATCTGTAATTTTCTCGCGTCATCTATCATACACCCCACCATATATTTTACATAGCTATTTGTGGACATATCTTATTTCCCTTGCCAAGAGAAACTGTAAACGCTTTTGTATGGGGGCCTTGTCTTGTTTCCTTCCCCCCACCCATATGAAAGCTGTACAGTTCCATTCCCATAGCAGGAGCTCCACAACTAGAAAATTAATAAAACTGATTAATAGCAATTGGATTCTATCTACTGATGGAACAAAAATATTTTCTTCATTTCTAGGTCAAGTTATATACCAGAATGCATAAATGCTTTGACTAAAATGACAATAAATGGAGAATAAAGGAGATCACAAACAACCAAAAATTTTAAAAAGGCTGAACAGAGGTTGAAGGAAATCATAATAAGAGAAGTAGATTGAGATCAGTTTAATTACAGGGAGAAGGGAAGATTAGATAAGCTGGGAGGTGAAAGAGGATAAAGGTGCCATTTAGGAGGCTCAGCTTGTTATAAATATTGTAATTAAGCCAGAATCTTCTCCTGGGGGGATTTAAAAGAACAAACAAAAATGCACATACTTAGATAAACAAAATGGGGAATATATCTAAATAGGATTTTCAAGCTGCTCTGCAAAACCAGTTAGATTATTTTTGTTTACAAAGCATAGGGGCAGAAATTTGTTTTAGCCTCCAATAATAGAAAGAGTTAAAAGCTTTAAAATAATCATTACCGCCTGCTGGGGTTTTTCCCTAAGAAACTATTTGCTTCTTTGCTGTTGAACACAGCCATAATAATAAGCCTTTACACTGGCAGGCTCAGTGTTACAAATATGTTATGTATTTCCATACATACTTCTAATTTCTCTGCTTTTGTATTACACTGTCGCAGGGGATGTTGGGGGGAAGTCGGTATGTAGATGAGTCTCTGGATCCTAAATCACCTACATCCTCAATTGTCCTTAATTTGCAAATGTATCTTTCCATATGGGCATCGTTCAGTTTCTGTTCCCACTCTGTTACTTTGTAACTGAATGGTTTGAAGATAGTTAAAAGCTTAAGTTTCAAGAAGATTGGGACTTTGTTTTGTTCAGTACCTTATCCCCAATTCTTGGAACAATTTTTGGTACATAGTAGACAACTGATAAATTTTCATTGAATAAATAACTTCATTGTGCTTCTATTTTCTCACCTTTTTAAGATTAAATGGGATAAAATATGTAAATTTCCTAGCATGGAGCATATATCCAATAAACATTAATTCTTCCTTTTCTCTATTAACTTAAGACTAAGAATTTATCCAAAGTCACATAAGAATCACTGGGCAAGAGGGTTGGAATCCGAATTATTTGATATTTAAAAATTACTCTGTGAATATATCCTAGGTAAACACAGCAATTCTCACATTATGAAAAAAAAAAGTGCTATCTAGAAGAACTAATTCTTTGAAAGCCAGGGATATCAAGTGTAATATGCATCCCAGTAAACATATTCCCCAGTTTGTATGTGAAAGAAAGAAAAAGGAGAAAGAGGGAAGAAGAAGGGGAAAGGGGAAAGTGGCCATGTCATAGAAAAATGCACACTCTCATCTCCCAAGCTCTTTATGTCTCCCTTCCCCAACACGCTTTTGAGATTTGTTATTTAAACATTTGATTCTGCAAAAGAAGGCACAAGCAACTGCTTTACTGTAATCACATTCTCTTTTGATATTTACAATAGGTACGTGAAAACTGAAGCAAATGTTCAAAATAATCATAACCCCACCACAGAGCTTGCAAGCAGATATGTTCACACATGCACACATACACAACTAACTGCCTTTGTAGCTGAAGAGACATGAGAAAATGATTTTAAAATAAACAAAGAAAGAAGAGAGGAGGACAGATAACAGAAAAACAGTGCACTCCCCACCCATGCACCTAGAGCAGTATCAACTGTGTTACCCTAATTTAATCTGTTGCTTTCCACAGCTGAAGCAAATAATTGATTTTATTTTGTGAGAGATGGGAGGATTCTTTCCTGTAATCATGGAGAAATAAAATAAAGAGCAACACAAAGAATTGCTGTATTATTATCTCTGGCACACTGTTTCTATTTGTGAAACTTTGTCCTTGTAACCCCATAGAACCTCCTGTTGCCTGTAAAGAAGGGCTGTAGATGGTTTTGTGTGTGTTGAGGAAGGCTTTTTACTGTGGGAAAACGTTTTCTTCGTTTTCTCCTCAAAATGAAATAGAGAATAATATACTAGTTTGTAAAATATAAGGTTATATATCTTAGTAGAAAATATAACTATAATTTTCAAAAGAGCTCCTTGCTAGGCACAAAAGTTCACAGCATAGGCAATAAAGGCATGGAGACACTTATGAACTTTTGATTTTTCATTTTCTTCTTCCTAGCCCATATCTCAATAGCAAATCTAAATAAACTAAGGACTCCAATCCCTGATCTAACAGCTGATAGCTTTTATGTGAAGTCTGAAAGAACTTTGTCCCTTTTTCCTTTGGTTCAAAGGATGCAAATTCTTATCCTTTGTAGTACAAAGGTGGTGCTATAGAAGTAGAAAGATTTTATAACCTAAGGATTTCCATGCTGCTTGGAAGTGTTGCATCACTAAATCAGAATATATGGGCACATAGTTGTCTGGAATTAAAAATGACTTTTTAAAATAGTGATTTGAGGGGCGCCTGGGTGGCTCAGTTGGTTGGGCGACTGCCTTAGGCTCAGGTCATGATCCTGGAGTCCCGGGATCGAGTCCCACATCGGGCTCCCTGCTCAGTAGGGAGTCTGCTTCTCCCTCTGACCCTCCTCCCTCTCATGCTCT